GATTTATTGTAGAGATGAGGTCTCACCAAGATGCCCAGGCGGGTCTCAAACCTGCGAGCTCAGGCAATCCACTCACCTCAGCCTCCCAAAGCTCGGGATTACAGGCTGAGCCACTGAGCCCAGCTTCATAATAATTCTTAACTTAGACAAGTCTTTTGCAACCTCAGGTATATGTTTAAATAATTTACATTTGTCTCAAGTTGCTTTCACATTAGTGGAATGTTGTTTTTCTAGCAGAACACTAACAGAACCAAAGTGCTCATTTTTATTTATTTTTGAGTTGGGGTCTCACTCTGCCACCCAGGCTGGAGTGCAGTGGCACGCTCACAGCCACCCCAGCACTGACCTGCTGGGCTCCAGCAATCCTTCCGCCTCAACCTTCCAAGTAGCCAGAACTACAGGCGCGCACTACCACACCTAATTTTTGATTTATTGTAGAGACGAAGTCTCGCCAACTTGCCTGGGCTGGTCTTAAACCCGCAGGCTCAGGCAATCCACTTGCCTCGGCCTCCCAAAGTGCTGGGATTACAGGCTGAGCCACTGAGCCTGGCCAGAAGTGTTCATTTTAAAACTCTGCCTAAATATGAATATGTGATCACTGCAGAAAACTTGAATATGCAGAAAAGAAGGCCTGAAGCATGTCAAGTGTGCACTCCAGCCCCCACAAGCACACAACCCAGGCTCAGGCTCCTCCTGCCACCGCATGTGCATGTGTGACGCATGGGTGTGAGCTTCCACATATGTAAAAACCACATTTATATGTTAACTCTGTCCAGCAAGCAACAGGTTTCCACACGTGAGGCATCAAAAACTAACTAAAAATATGGGTAATCAAAACTGGTTCAAACATCGACCAGAGGCAGGTACAGGCTAGAAAATGCCCTATGCTGCAGCCTGTCCCACACAAGCTGCTTTAATCCAGTCTTCTCGTGGTGGGGGGCTGAGGAAGGCACACAAACTCCTCACTGAAAGTTTCTTCAGCAGAGCTGATGGGTCCTGTGTCAGCCCCACACCTTGCCCGGCCGTGAGCAGGTCACACGAGGCAGCCCACACTTGGGAGTGCAGGGACTGTTCTCAGGACAATGACCTGAGGTAAGGTACCAGAGGGGCTCCCGAGGGGAGTGACTCAGCCCCAGGCCTGTGGCTCCTGGCTGCACTCTCCTGCTAGGACAGTGGCCTTGGGGCCTGGGATAGGCCCATGCTGGCTCCTCCTACTGTGGGGCTCTCTCCCAGTCATATTTGGAAATGGTTCCTGTCTCACTTACCGAATCCACAGCTCCACCCATTAAAATGAACTCCTTTGTGATGATTTCCACCATTTCTCGGACCTGGAAAGGAGAGTAAAGAGGTGAGAGACCATACCCGCTGGCTCATCTCCAACATGGGCTGACCTGGCTGGGAAGAGAAGCTGCCCTGAGGACAGGCCATGGGCTGACCTAGCACGGTGCCCTCTCCATGCTGCCCTCACCTGTCTTGGGTCAGCGCTGGCGTGAATGCACAATAGGCCTGTGTCCTCGTAGCTGTGGTGGTAGGAGGTTGCATTATACATCCAGTGGTGCCTGTGAGGGGACATGGAGTCGCGGGGCCAAGGTGACACCAATGTCAGGACACAGGAAACTAGAGAGGACACTATGGTCCCCGCCTGTGGCCCGGCCTGGCAGCTGGAGGACAGCTGCATCGAGGGACCAACCCACCTGTTGAGCACATTGAGATAGAGCCGGGAAAACATGCCCTTGCCGGGCCCACCAGCTGAGAAGGAGCCACCGCCACCCATCATCATGTTGAGCACGGCGAAGGGGATGAAGTCCTCCTCCTGTGGTGACACAAGGTGGGGCTGGCCTGGGCCCACCACGCGGGGGAGGCCCACCCATTTCCCACTACCCCACACTCACCAGGAAGGAGCAGCTCTCCAGGCCAACCATGATGTGTGTGAGCTCAGGGATCGGGGTGGGGCCCAGGCTGACGCTGGACATGTCTCTTTCCAGCTGTAACCGAGAACAGCAGGGTTCACCAACTCCCGGATCAGAGTGTCTCCTAGAAACTCTCTGTGAGCATCAGGAACGCCCCCCACTGAAGGGCGCGCCACCGCAGCCTCTGTGGGAGTTGCATGCAGTCCTAACAGTGCTCAACCTCCAACAGGCATGGGACGAAAATGTGTCATGGTATGAGTGTGGTTAATTCCCACCACCTTTGGAGTAAATGTAAGAACACGCTAAAAACTCAAGTCAGGGCTGGGTATGGTGGCTCATGCCTGTAATTTTAGCACTGTGAGAGGCTGAGGCAGGAGGGTCATTTAAGGTCAGTTCAAGACCAGTCTGGACAACATAGTGAGACCCTATCTCTACCCTCCCTGCTAAAAAAAATCTGGGCTGGGTAACACAAGCATGTAGTCCTATCTACTCAGGAGGCTGAGGTGGAAGGATTACTTAAGCCCAGGAGTTCAAGGCTGCAGTGAGCCATGATCATACCACTGGACCCCAGCCTGGGTGACAGAGGGAGACCCCCAACTCAAAAAAACCCCAAGTCAGGAGACGTGGACATTGCCCATGAGCACAAGGCCTTCCTCATCACCAATTTACCTTGACAATGCCCCCAGTGTACTGTGCTACTGATCTATCAACATTCACAGCTTCCGTGCTACCCCAGGCCGGCCGGACTCCTAGGAGGTACTTCCTGGCACAGTCTACCAGGTGCTCATGCTCGACACCCACACCAGCCAGCACCATGCGGTCAGGGGTATAGTAGGTCCTCAGGTAGGAGTGGAGCACATCTCGGTTGATCTTTGCTATGTTTTCTGGGGGGCAGAAACGGTGGAGGCCAACGGTGTTCTCCTTGTAAGCTGCCTAGTAGAGGGGACACACACACAAGGGACTGAAGAGAATGCAACAAAGTCCCCCCAACAAGCTGCACCATCACCCTCTCCAGTGTCACCCTCCTCCAGCAGTGCCTCTGGGAAGAGCCCACACAAGCTGGTATTTTAGCTACAGTTTGGCAATAGCAGTGTGGTGTGTATTTGTAAAAATGGTAAAATCTACCCCTCCAGAATGAAAATTCACAAAAAACATAAAATAACAGTGTTATTTCATAGATAAAATGGCCAATTAGAACTCTAAGACTTGGCATAAGAAAAAATAGATGGATAAAGACCTTGTTACTGAAAGAGCTGGAAAATACAAACACTTCATAAACAGTCAACTCAGAAATTAAGAATGTTCTGAGCTGAGCACGGTGGTGTGCACCTGTAGCCACAGCTACTTGGGAGGCTGAGGTGGGAGGATTGCTTGAGCGTAGTGTGAGTAAAACAGCAAGACCTCATCTCACAAAAAAAAAAGCATGCTTTGAGTGTTCTGTGTATACCCATAACCTGCAAGGACAACATGGAGGAGGCAAACAACCCCCCTGCCCCACCACCCCTAGTGTTCAGAGGGTCACTGATCTCACGCGGGGGCACTCATGAGCTCTGTGTCCTACTTCATGAATCATTTCGGTGAGAAGTGGCTCCGGGTCAGGCCGCATGTTAAGGTCCTCCAGCTCGAACTGGACAGCCATCCGCGTCATCTCGATTTCCTCATCTGTGAGACAACCCAAGGACAATGGCTCAGGCTGCACGTGCGAGGGAAGAACACAGCACCAGCCCCAAGTGGGTCATGTTGACTGCTGGTGGGCATGGGAAGTCACCTGCCTTCACAGCTGGAGAGCTTATGGGAGTAACGGAGAAATTGCCATGGCAGGCAGGGACAAGGGGCCAGGCCTCTCATCCCGGCTCTCCCAGGAAGCAGTCACCTGGACTTGCCCTGAGCCCCAGTCCCTCATTTGTGAGAGGCACTGAAGGGACCTGCCCTTCTATCCCAAAGGGCTGCTGTGAGGGTAAAATACAAGGTGCCTGGAACAGAGGCACAAACCAATGTTGGATGCTGTGGGTGTCAGCTGACTCTAAGTACCACAATGTTCTTAACAAGGAACTGTCGTCTGGAACACCGAGGCCAGGCTGCTGTGGGACAACGCATAGCTCTAAGTTGTCTGGAAAAACCTACATTCCCTGTTCTCCTGGTCCATTCCTGCCAGGGAACTGTTCTATCACCCACAAGGCCAAGGAGGGAGATGAAGACAACAAAATAGAAGCTTCCGGCAGCATACTGTCAAGGTATTTCAAGACAGTCTAAAGTACCTTTTTCAAATTAAAGAACCGATTTCACCGAAACACCCAAGGGCCCAGAGGGACTCAAGAGTATCAAGCACTCTTGAGAAAGCCAAGGACCAGCATTCCTTCTAATGAAATCACACTGTAGTGGCTGCATCAGCCCAAGGCACCCCAAACACTGTCATCCTCATGGCTGCAGCGCTTCCACCAGTCTTTCTGGTCTCTCTGGCGCCCATGCCTACCTCAAGCGCTGGCAGCAGGGCGCCTCACCTGTTAGCCGGGGCTGCAGGACCACATCGGCCAGTAAGCCAACCACCGTGTCCAAGCCTTTGCTGTCAGCAGACACAGCATACATGGTGGTGTCTCTGGAAGAAAAAAAAGGTCAACAATGCCGGGTCTAAGTGCATGTTCAGTCTCGCACACCAGTAGGGATTCTCACCATTTATGTCGAGGACCAGCAGGCTTTTTTCCCATCTTACAGTGTGAATTCCTGGCAGGCAGGAACCATAGCAATGTGCAGGGAAGGTAAAGAATTGAGTAATGACACTGCTAAATCAACATGGGGACAATTCTGATAGAGGTTTTGTCTGAGTTAAGGTCTCACTCTGTCACCCAGGCTGGAGTGCAGTGGCACGATCACAGCTCACCACAGACTGGACCTCCTGGGCTCAGGCGATCCTTCCGCCTCAGACTCCTAAGTAGTTGGGACCACATGCATGTGCCACCATACACAGCTAATTTTTTTTATTTTTTGTAGAGACCAGGTCTCACTATGTTGTCTAGGCTGATCTCAAACTTCTAGGCTCAAGTGATCCTCCCGCCTCGGCCTACCAAAATGCTAAGATTACAGGTGTGAGCCACCTTCCCTGGCCCTGACAGAGGTTTTTGGTTTTTTTTAAACTACAGCCTCTCAAAAGGTGAAGCATTTCATCTGTGTCTTCTAGTGTTTACCGAATGCACCTCCTGGTCAATATAAAAACTGGCCCTGGCCTTGGAAGGCTGGGAAGACAGAGATGCTTTGGCCCTCTGGCAGCTTGTTGTCTAATTGTAATGTTAAGTGACAGAGTGCGGCAGGACATAATCAGAATCGCAGAGCTGGCCACAGAAGGGACAAGCACAATGTGATCACAGGACCCTCTGAGATCAAGTGCGATCAAGGGAGACGGTACAGAACAGACACATCTGACACAAAGAAAAGAGCGAGCTCCACGAGGCAGGACACCGCCCCAGTGCCTGTGCCGCGGGGACTCGACTGGTCCTTCATCCTGGAGAGCGGTCTTCTTCACTGGCTGCAGCCCACAGGGGAGAGCAAGCGTGAGCAAGCAGGATCTGAGCCAGGACACAACCCACCTGCCCAGAGGGAGGAGTAAGAAACCTGAGGCAAGATGTGGGGACCTGACATACCAGGTCGTGAGTCTGGACACCAAGCACAGGCAGCTGGGAGCTAGGGGCTTTTTAAAACACCTTGTTCTAAACTGTGAATATATTACCTCCATGCCAACTTTAATTCTTGGCACATAACACGGTTTTTAGTTGTAATGGTTCAACATTCAAGTGTAAACAATCAGCCATTTATTTATTTTTTAGTTGGAGTCTCACTCTGTCACCCAGACTGGAGTACAGTGGCATGCTCCTGGCCACCACAGCCTCAACCTGCTGGGCTCCAGCGATCCTTCTGCCT